TTCCAGCAGCAACCTTAGTTTTTCCCAGGAGTCTCCCATCCAGGTACTGACCAGGCTCACACCTGCTGAGCTTCAGTGGGTTGCCAGTTGTGAGTTGCAGGGTGATATGGCTGCTTCATCTCACCATTTAACCTGGTGAAGTAGGAAAACGCGTAATAACCGTGGATTAAAAAAAAAACACATTGTTCGACCTAAAAGTTCTCTTTTACATTTAAATCAGAGTAAAACGTAGACAGTTAGCAGACTTTGTCATCCGGCACCTGAGGAATGGTCGGGGACACCTGGAGGTGGCGGAGTCGCTCTCTGGAATCAACCAATCACTAGTGATATAAACTACTTGGCGAGTTTCAACACTTCTCAAATTGGCCACACGGGGGAGCGCTCCTCCACTTTTTAACACCGTACTTGCTCTCTTCTTTATTACAAAATGTCATTGTTTTCAAAGACCTTACCACTACCATTGTATTACATCACCATGAGGAAGAGGAGGACACAGGAGGCCCTGGAGTCTTCCTCTTCCTGCTCCGCATCGACTCTTCGCCGTCCAGCTGCTGTGCTCGTAAGACTGGGGGCTCTGGGTCCAATCTAGGCGCCCCAGACTTGAGGACCATGACGAGGGGGTCGAAGTGCCGGTCAGGACCTCAGAGCCGCAGGCAGGCCGGCGGACATGGGAGGTGGGTGCGTTAGGCTCACAGGAAGCCCCCGGGTGTTGTCCTGTAGGACTGGGGCAGCGACCGGCAGTTCTGCAGTCTGTCAGGGCTGCCCTAAGAATCACAGCCTTGTACAGCTGCACTCAGTGGCACAACAAGATGAGCACATCGGGTTACCCTTCGTCCACGCACAGGATTGAGACAAATTACCATCAGCTTCACAGCACAGTCAGGAAACGGTTAAAATAAAATCCATGTTGGCTTTATGGGGCAAATATAAATACCTCAACCATCTCCCACTTCATCGGGTTGATAAACCTGGGCTTGGGCACTCTCGGCTATGACCTGGCTCCTTGTGTCATGTCCTCTACTGAAATCAATCCCTCCGTATTCAGACGCAGACTAGCTGCTATTTTTAGATTATTTTTTATTTCCCTCCCCCGCCAAATCCGAGACCGAGGAACATTTATCACAGACACTCCCCCCCCCCACTCAGACTAACAGCCCTGTTGTCATGGCAACCACCTCCAGCCTAGTTATGCAGGGCTCAGCTCTGATGAGGTAATTGACTGGGAGCCTCATCTCATCTCCCCTCCTCTGGCTCCTGTGAGGGGGGAGAGGGCATCTGGGGCCAGCTGTAATGAAACCTGGAGCTCACAAACCGGGAGTCAGGATAGTACTGGGGGAGGGTGCTCTTCTCAATTTATTCATGCTTTGTATGATTGGAATAAAGGTGTTGCATCTCCCATTGTCCAGAAGGTACGCTGGAATGTTTCTAAATTCAGCCTGAGACTGAAT